CCGAGCTTTGGAGCCGCTGGCGCCCATGTCAGGGTCGCCGGCGCATGGCGACCCAGCGGCCGCTGCGCTCTCACAGTGCAGAACGCGCCACCATGCCGGTCCCCAACCTCTGTCCTTAGGTGGTGCTACTGCTACCACCGCCGCCGCCTTCCGCAGGCTGGGTTGTCTCCACGGAAACCTCACATCCGCTTCCATACGCCCTGCACGCTGCACCCTCTGATTGGTTACTGCTCTTGTCCGTCCATGAGGCAGAGGCAATGGCTACCCTGAGTTTAGGCTTCCCAGCATGCATTGCGAGACCCCAGGTCCCAGCAGGCCAAGCGGACAGTAGTCTCCCAAGGGGTGGAAACGTTTTCTTCTTCTCCAGATTAGTTGGCCTATAAGGCAGTTCCAAAAGTCCCTGATCGCTGAGCTCAGACTCACCTGACCTACTCAACCTGGTTATCTCAAACCAGCACTTAAGGACCTGAAACCCTTACCAGGCCACAGAGAGCTCATCAAGCTTCTAACCATGTTTTTGTGATCCTTACTATCACCTGTAAAGTAAACCTAGCCTAAGGAGGATCGCTATGAGTTGGAGACCAGCCTGGGCTACATAGTGAGTTCTAGGTCAGTCTCGACTGCATATTGAGACCCTGTCTCAAAAAACCAAAAAAAAAAAAAAAAAAAAAAAAAAAAAAAAAAAAAACCTAGCCTAAAGAAAACGAGCTGCCTAGTACCTTTTTTGGCCAAATGTTTTGTAGCTACACTGAGGTCTGAAGAACTTCAAATTTTGTTCCTTCCAGACTCACCATGTGGGACTCTAACCGCTATGTAACCCCTAGTTAGCCAGCATACAGCAGCACACATTCCTTTCTACTCAGCTCCAAGATAAGATTAACAGAGTGTATGGAAGCCCGGTAAGGATGAATAAGATAGCGACTCAAGGCCTCGTTAGAACAGAACAGCCTGAGGTCTGGAGATGAAAGGCCAGGTGCACCGTATAGCTGACTCCTTTAGATAGATGCCAGAAAACCGACCCCCTGACCCCTGGCCCACTTGCTGTGCTTGCAATCCTCTTCCCTTGCCTTTAAAAAACTGCTAACCGCTGAGCTGGTGCCTCTCTGAGCTGCTCAGTTCTGAGAGTGCCGTCTGGCCAGACTAATAAGGGTCTATTTACCAACAAGCCTGGTGTGTTCCTTCCTGGGTGACTCTCGCTGCTCATCGAGCTCCTGGAGCCTCGCTGAGCTATAGGTCTCAGCATTTTGGAGGCCCTTTGGGCTGTTCAAGGCTCCCGGAAGTAAGGCCTACATCTTGAATCCGAAGCCATCATTGGGCTATAGGACTCAGCATCGTGAAGGCCCTTTCGGCTGTTCACGCTCCTCGGAGTGGAAGTGAGACTTTAGGTCTTACAACCAGAATACATGCTTCGTGGAAACAAGAATCCTTAACAGCTCTACCCTTAGTACAATATGCAGAGCCTGGTCCACAACAGCAAATGAAGAACCTATGCTACAGCTTCTTGATATGTGGTGCGAAAATGGTTTTTGTAATATAATAAGCTGCAGCTTATTCTTGCTTTCCCATGACCTAAGCCCCAAGGTGCTGAGTGATGACATATACACATCTCCTTCATATATTGCTTCCATGTCAACCTTGCAAAGGACACTGACAGCCTATCCATCACCCTTGGCAGCCAATGGCATGAGAGGCAACCACAGGTATGGGCCCACAATAGAGTCCAAAAGCAAGAGTTGTCTTAAATCTTTATTCAGCCAATATTCTTAGGCCTCAGGCCCTAATGTAAACCCTCCCACCCCCCGCTCCCCACAGGAGACATTCAGTTGAGGTTACAAAACATCACATACAGTACATTCATACACTTCAACAAAAACATCTAAGGGAGCCAGGTGTGGTGGCACACACCTGTAATTCCAGCACTTGGGAGGCTGAGGCAGGAGGATCACCACAAATTTGAGGCCAGCCTGGGCTACAAAGTGAGTTCAAGACCAGCCTGCACTACAAAAAGACCCTGTCTCACACAAACAAACATACAAACAAACATTAGAGGGAGAGACCCTGGCTTTGATGATAAATGAGGAATGGGCCTGACCCACTATCCTCATATGAAGACCCTGGTTTGGCCCAGGGACATCCTTCTTAGGAAGCACTGAGGCACTATCTGCACTGTAAACCAACACTCCTTGACCTCAAGAAGGCACTAAAGAGAAACCTAGACTCTACCTCAATGCCTACCTTATTCTGAACACTCACTCTTGGCTTTGATAAGGCTATCTTGAGACTTCATTCAAGACCCAGAACACAACTTTCCCCCATAGTTGAGGTTCCTCATCTCTGTAAACATCACCCTTGTTTGTGGGACCTTCAAGAGTCTCATATCTGAGACACAAATTAAGGAGACTTCTATCTGCTCCACCTCTGCTGCAAGCCTGGAGCAGCTGCCCAGGGCAGCCTTAACTTGCTGTAACCCAATATGTGAGAGGCAGAGGGGGTACAAAGCCATGCCCTCCTACACCCACTGGTGGACACAGGGGGTCAGCTCCTTTGCTGTTCCTTGGGCTTGTTCTCCCAATTAGGGAAGGGCCTCTATGCACACTCATTCCTCAGGCCCCATGGGCCCTGTCACACTCACACAGCACGCTCTTGGCACTGCCTACTCTCCTGCCACCCAGGGATATAACAGGTCACCCCAGGGGACAAGCATGCAGGGCCTCTTGGATCTTTTGGCGGCAATAGGAGTACTTCTGCAGGATCTGTCGGAGGTGTTCTTCTTCCTCTCTCTGCAGGATACGCAGAAAGTTGTGTAGTTCTGGCATGCTGAAGGCATCCCACTGCAAGGGGGTACAGGGAAGTACACAGGATGCAGCAGGCATGGCCAAGCAGGCACCCCCCTCCCCGAGAAAGCCAGGATATAATGATCACAAGAGCTAGGGGTCTGGGCTTTCTGATATTAAACTCTTGCTTGAATAGTCTCTGCTAGAATTCTCAGTAGCCTGAATAGAAGAGGGATCATATAAAAAGTTACCTCACTGTGTCAGGTTGTACCTATCCTCAGATACATAGCCCCTAAGTAAAAAGAGACATTTTCTTTCTTTAAACAGGACTAGTGGGGCTAGCTTCCTGCTTCGAAAATGCAAGGTCCCAAGTTCGATCTCCGGTACCAACCACCCCCCAAATAGGACTAGTGATCAAACCCAAGGCTTCAAGAATGCTAAGCAAGCATTCTAATACTAAACTAGACACCCCCACACGTTTTTGGTGTTAGGGATTGAACTCTGGGCCTTGTGCTAGGTGCACACTTTGCCACTGAGCTATATTCCCAGCCCCTAGGTAAAAAGTCAAATGCTTAAAGGGGAGTCTTCATGCTGTCTTGGGCTCACCATGCTATTAGACTCCCAAATCTCCAGAGAATTTTCCACACCAGAAAATAGCAAGGAACTAAGACAAATCTTCCTAGTACTTGGGACAGGCCCTGGCTCTTGGCATGGGTGGCTCAGAAGACTCTGCTTTAGCTACAAGGTCCATATACTCCCATAGAGGATTTGCAGGGCTTATCCTCTAGCTCAACTCCTTCCCAAGTCTTACTGTACCTACAGCCCATGAGTCTTATCTACTAACAACCCCCAAGATATAAATAAGACTGTGTACTCACATTTACCTCCCCAGAGTCATTCTCCTTCAGGATGAAACTCAGGGCCTTTTCACTAGGCCCTGCAAGGAGCCGTAGCTGCAGAGGCTGCTCATCATCTGACAGTTTCCGGAAGTACACTGAAGGCCAGGAACAAGGAAATGGATGTATGGTCAGAGGTAGGCCCAGCCATCTCAGCCTCTGCAAGCACAGGTACATGTCTATATACTCTCACAGGTTGGGGTGGGCAGGAAACTTACCTTGGCCATGACGTTCAGCCCGTTCAAAGAGTGCAAACTTGCGGGGGTCATCTACCACCAAGAATTTGCGTAGGAGGGCCTCAATAACCTCACTTGCCCGTGTGCGTGACAGTACATGGAGATGCTTGACAGCATCCTTGGGCAGGTAAAAGGAGGTGCGGCGTCTCACAGCTGTACCCCGCCCCGGGCCCCTCCGGGCATCCTGCAAGGAAGGTGGTTTCTTGATGGAGGGTACTGAGACAGGGCGAAGCAGCTTCAACTGCACCTTGATGAAGCCTGTGTAGGAGCCATCTTTGTTCTAAAGAGAAAAAGAGAAAACAGACTGTGACAGGAGATATTCCTGGTGAGGTAGAACAGTCCAGGGTTCTTTTTGTTTACTCAGGGCCAGGCTGGGTATGCATAAATTATTGCTTGGGCCCACCCAAGAATAATACCTTGGCTTTGGAGCATTAGGCATCTGGCTGGGTTCCTGCCCTCCCTATGACTTTTATTTTTGAGGCAGGGTCTCACTGTATAGTTGAGACTGACCTGGAACTCACTATGTAGCCCAGCCTGGTCTCAAATGCAAAGCAATCCTCTTGCCTCAGCCTCCGGAATGCTGGGATTACAGGCGTGTGCTACCACATCTGGCTTGTTTTTGTTTTTTGAGGCAGGGTCTCACTATGTAGTTGAGACTGACCTGGAACTCACTATGTAGCCCAGCCTGGTCTCAAATGCAAAGCAATCCTCTTGCCTCAGCCTCCGGAATGCTGGGATTACAGGCGTGTGCTACCACATCTGGCTTGTTTTTGTTTTTTGAGGCAGGGTCTCACTATGTAGTTGAGACTGACCTGGAACTCACTATGTAGCTCAGGCTGGTCTTGAACTCAGAGCAATCCTCCTGCCTCAGCCTCCTGAGTGCTGGAATTACAGGTGTGCCCCACCACGCCTGGCTTTTTTTGTTGTTGTTTTTTGCATGCTCTCTTCTTGAGCAATCAACTCACCAGACTCATGAAGAGGTTGCTGTTGATCTGGCCATTATACTCCTTGATCTTCTGTTCAATTTTGGCTTGAGAAAGATCAGGTGTCTCCCATTCCACAGGCTCATCCTAAAAGGCCAGTATAGACAGACATAGGACCCTTGAGGAATCCAGGGCTTCTCTGAAAAAGAGCCTCTGGGACAGCCATTGGAAATCAACTGCCTTTGGCACTAAGTCCATCTATCCTGAACTTATAACCATTATAGATCTGCATGCTATGGGTAGAGACAGCAAAGCTAGGATCATTAGGCTTCACTCCACTGCTTCTTTTTTTATCCCCCAGTACCAAGGATTGAACTCTGGGCCTTGTGCTTGCTAGGCAGGTGCACTGCCACTAAGCTAAATCCCCAGAGCTTCTTCACTGCTTGTATAGGGCCACCTCAGCACAGGTTGCGGCCCTAAGGATAGCAAAGAATCAGGAGCAACTTCAGAAATGGCTAGAAGCTAGGAAAACAAGGAATCTGAATATAGATTCTCATGTAAAGAAAAAAAATATCTTGGGGATTTGCAGTGCAGCTCAGTGGTAGAGTACTTGCCTAGCCTGAGTGAGGCCTTGTGTTCAGTCCCCAGTATCACAATATGAGTAAGATAAGAGTAAAACCATGTCCCAACTGCACAGTTGATCCCAGTACCCAATTTGGTTTAGAGTCAAGGTTTGTCCTGGAGAAGGCAGCTCACCTGTCTATTCTGGCAAAAGGCCATGACCCACTGTAGGGTAGCAGGTGCGGGGACTGATGCACATCAGTAATCTAGTCACCAGTGGGCAGGAGGGGGAAGAGTAATCTTTACAATGTCAGGACTCCTTGGTAGGATTCCTGGGGCCAACCTTCTACTGTCTCTTTTATATAGTGAGAAAAGCACTGTGACATGCCACTTAACCCTGACCCAACCTGCACAGAGGGCTGAATTAGGCAAGGCTTCAATCTACCAGAGATAACACAGGCAACTTCGTGGTACAGCCTGTCCACATGTGCCAAGCCAAGTGGGCTTCTGTACTTTTCCCTTTAACCTAAAGATTGTAGCTTTACCTTTCAACTCCCTCCACCCTCTTCCAGGGACTGGACTCTTTTATTTTGGAGACAGGGTCTCACTATGTAGTTGAGACTGATCTGGAACTCACTATGTAGCCTAGGCTGGTCTCAAATGCACAGCAATCCTCTTGCCTCAGCCTTCTGAGTGCTGGGATTACAGGCCTGTGCCACCACGCCCAGCTTCTATTGGTACTTTTTAAGTATACAGTAGTTACATTCATCATTGGGATCTTGTACCCTTAAACGACAGCTCTTGGTTCTCATTTTTTTCCCATACCCCTGCCCTCCCTGCACCCCACCCTCTCCTCTTTACGAAGACTTTGTTTCCATTATTTTCTTTTCTCAAATTTTTTCCTGTCCCTTATTTCCTTTCCCCTACTATTCCCACTTCCCCTACACCTTTAGCCCTTTTCTTCCTATTTCAGGGACTGGATTCTTGCTGGAAGGGTAGAGTGTGGGCTAAGGCAGTCAGGGTTCTGAATTTCTACCAATCTGAGTTGGCTTCAAGTCCATTAGTCTTACTTCCTGTTGACATGAGAGAGGTCCTAGTTGAAATACGAGTGTCACAAGCACAGGTGAGATCACCACTGACCAATTCCTTGGTGCAGGGGATTCTCACCAGAAAGCCTCCTGTAGAATGACACTGTGCCTCAAGCTCTGAGCCAAGGACAGCCAGGGAGCTCCTTGACTGCTGTTTTGGAGCTCCCTAATTTGTTCATACTACTGATGAGGATAAGTGGGGAAAATATGATATAGCAGGATGAAGCCCAGGACTTTTCTTTCTTTCTTTTTTTTTTTTTTGGTTTTTTGAGACAGGGTCTCACTATGTAGTTGAGACTGACCTGGAACTCACTATGTAGCCCAGGCTGGTCTCGAAATCATAGCAATCCTCCTGCCTCAGCCTCCCAAGAGCTGGGATTACAGGTGTGTGCCACCACACCAGGCAGGACTTTTCAGCTATGTTCTTTTTTGTGTTTTTGAAACAGGGTCTTGCTATGTAGTTAGGGCTGGCCTTCAATTCACTATGTAGCCTAGGCTGGCCTCAAACTCATGGTGATCCTTCTGCCTTAGCCTCCTATGTGCTGGGATTACAGGCATGTGCCATCACACTTGGCAACAATATACTATTTTTTTTTTTTTTTTTTTTTTTTTTTTTGGATTTTTGAGACAGGGTCTCACAATGTAGTTGAGACTGACCTGGAACTCACTATGTAGCCCTGGCAGGTCTCGAACTTGCAGTGATCCTCCTGCCTCAGTCTCCCAAGTGCTGGGATTATAGGCGTGCCACCATGCCCGGCCAACAATATACTCTTTTCCTAGAACTTGCTGCTAATATTTCACAGGAAAAAGGTTTTCAAGAAGTGTTGGGAACTTAAGCCCCTCCCTCCACAAGTTTCCAAAGGTCTCCTGGATGGAGGACAGCATTAAGCAGTAAACTCCAAGAGAAACAGGTGTTAGAGACTGAGCAATCCTGTTAGGCTAGTAAGAACAAATGGTGGAGCTGGGGATTTAGCTCAGTGGTTCAGCCACCTGCCTCACAAGTGCAAGGTCCCAAGATTGATCCCCAGTACCAAAAACAAAAAACAAAACTAAACAAAAAACCCCCCAAAACCAAATGGTGTTGCCTGGGGGTTGTTACACTTGTAATCCTAGCACTTGGGAGGCTGAGGCAGGAGGATTGCAATGAGTTCGAGGTCAGCCTGGGCAACATAGTGAGCACAAGGCCATCCTGAGTTAGAGTGAGACACTGTTCAAACAAACCCTACAAACCACAAACCAAAGCAAATAAAACAAATGGTGTGGGTCCTGGAAAATGAGGGCTAGATGCTGGCAATAAGAGGCGACGTTTGTTGAGGCCCAAGACGAGAGGCTGGGATAGAAAAGAGGGTCCTAAGAAGGAGTACCCGGACAGGAGGGGGTTTGGGGCAGGAGGAATGATGAGTAGACTCTACCGTTGTGACAACAAAAAGAGCACCCTTTACAAAACAGGGAAGGCACAGGGACAGTGCTAACTTATTCCACACTCCCCCAACCCCGTACTGGGGATCAAACTCAGGACCTTGCGATTGTGAGGTAGGTGTGGCGCCACTAAGCTAAATCCCTGGCCTCACTTATTCCACTTTTTTGTAATGTCTGAGCACTAACCTGGGATTGAGAACATTAACTGCTTCCTCTTCCCCTCCTGGTTATTCTGGAGTCCTGGACTGGGATTCAGTGACCTCAGTTTCAGTCCCTTTCCTTCTCCAGATGAAACTTCCTGTATACTTCTATTTGTAAAACAAAGGACTTGGACTAGAGTCACTGCACTAGCTGGTCAGGATTCTAGGAAATAAGTTTCTTTTTCTGTTTCCAGAGTTGCCTAGAAGATTCTTTTTTTGTTTGTTTGTCTGTTTCTTTTTTTGAGACAGGGTCTTGTTTTTTGAGACAGTGGCCGTGAAATCACTATGTATCCCAGGCTGGCCTTAAACTCATGGAGATCCTCCAGCTTCAGCTTTCTCAGTGCTGGGATTACAGGTGTGCATGACCATGCCCAGCATAGATTTCAACAATGATCCAGAAGGATGTGCAGCAGAACTATGGAATTTTCCTTCTTGAACTATAGCAACCTCTCTCTCTACTATAGTCAGTAGTGACTGATGGTCTTATTTCACAAATAACTTGGGACTTCTCAGACTCCTCTGCAAGCTGGCTAGTTATCTTGTTATTTTCCTACCTTTGCATAATGGAGATGGCTCAGGGTGAGGGATATGAAGAGAACCCCAGGGATGCACACTGGAACTTTGCACTCAGCTCTGGGCTGAGATTTTGGGGTGCTGAGTACCATCCTTTCTATAAGGAATTTTGTCAACTTTCATCTACAGCCTCATCTACAACTCTATTTTCTTGGCTTAAATGAGAACTTTCACTTCTCTTCTGCCAGCTATATTAAACTTCATAGGCCCCTGTCTCTTTTCTGCCTGGCCTGTATGCTCGCTCCCCTGAAGTATTTCAGCTCAGGACATGACACCTCCACAGTGGTCTCTGCTAATGGAGGCACCTAGTTGCTCTGAAAGGCTCAGCTGCCCTGGCACCTCACTTTATGAACTTGGATTAGTAACCTCTTTTCACTCCTCATAGGACATTCCCATCCTCTTGTAGGTAAATTGCTCGAGAATGCTTACAGTTCAAAACAAGGCTTTCTTCCTTTCCACTCCCAAATCTCCTGCAAGAATTGGAATTCTCTACATCAATTCTACATACAACTGGTGACAGAGCAGGACCAGCAAGGCTTGAGAACTCAGCAGGCTCCATACTGGGGTGCGAAGTGCCTAAGAAAGGGCCGGTCCTGTCTCTTACCTCTGAAACACTGCTGGTTTCCTGGCAAGAATTCCTACCCCTCCACTTCCTCCTGTTCCCTCAGGGAGGGCGTGGGAGCGCCCAGAAGCGAAATTAAAATGTTAGCGCAGGCTGCCCAGCTGGTTTTTGTAATAGATGGCTAACGCCCGTCTCCGGTCCACCCCAAGTCACCGAGTTGCTACTCCAGGTTCAACCGGTCTGTGACAGGGAGCGCAAGGGGCCCTGGCAGGCACCAGGACCGATGCGCTGGAACCGGGGCTCTACCTAAGGGGCAGCCGATACAAGGTTCTGCGGCCCGGTCCCACCCGGACTGGCTCTCGCAACTCACCGGGGAGGGCAGGTTCCGGCGCCCTCCCCGCGCCCTCTGTGGGCACCCCCGGCTCCCACCTGGTCTCGGCGCGGCCTGCGGGCCAGCGAGGTGCGCGCTGTGAAGTACTGCTCGAGCTCTGAATCTGAGTCCTCTTGGCTGCAGTAGCCACTACTGGTCGTGCTGCTCCAGGTCATGTCAAAAGGCGTCTCAGCCTCGCCCATCACCGCGTCCACCTGGTACCCTAGTCCCCCGCTTCTGGATCCTTCAACCACCGCCCCGGGCGCGTCGTGCGTGTGCGCGTGGGTCAGTGTGCGCGTGCGCCAGGGTTAGCGCCTCACCGCAAACGTTGAGACTGAAACTTAGCTGAGTTACTGCTTTTGTCTTATTGGGGTAGGAATGTCCAGGGGTGGGGACACACGCGCAGCGCCTCCAAAAATGACCTCATCGTCCAATCAGCTCTTCTCCAGCACTGACTGGCAGGCCCCGCCCCACTGAGGGACCATTTTAGAGTTTGCGCATGTCTGCCAACGCCGTGGTGAGGCTGGAAGAGGGCGGGAGTAAGGCGCAGGAAGTGCGCGTGCGCCGAGCTGCGTGGAGGTAGCACCCTTGGGCACGCAGCCAAGCCGGCGAACTGGATTGGCCTCTCTGCCGCTCTGAAGCCAACTACGTATTCAGACGCTCACTTGAGCGCAGCGCTCAGGCTATCCCTGAACGTCGGTTTTGTCGCCTGTCCACGCATTCCCGCCCCGCTGGGATAGCCCCAGCCCAGCGCTCACCACGTTTGTGTCCCGTTCCAGCACGGGGTCCCAGCCAAGGTCTCGGGGCCCGCAGCAGTCCAGGCAGACCAGCACGCGACAACGGTAGTGGCAGGTGAACTTGCAGTCTGCAGAGAGGGCTGGCCGTGAGGCGGAGCCCCACCTCCAGCTCGGAACGACGTCCCGGGAACTGGAGGGAATCCCCAGAGAGGGCTGCGTCTCGTCTGGCTCTGTGTGATCGGCCCTGTAGGCCCGGTCACCGCCCACTGGTACCCTGACTAGTGCTGGTTCCCAGGCGTGTCTAGAAACCGGCTGGAAGGCAGCAAACAAGGCCTGCTACCGGTAGTACAGAGCTTACCCCTTCTGCCTTTAACTTGGAGAAAAAAACTTTTAACCTACTATCTCCTCTGTTAACTGTCCTCTCAGACAAAAACACTGGTTTACATAACCTGATTTTTCCTTTTAATTCCTCTGTTCACTCCAATCAGGGCTGCCCTTCCCTCTAGAAAACTGCCAGGGTACTTAGTGGTCCAATTTCTACTTTCACTCTCTGCATCATTTGATGCTGATTCCCAGGCACCACACTCTTCAGGTTTTTCTCTCACTTCACAACTTATGGCCAGCTCCTTGGCTGGTTTTGCCTAGGCCTTCCAGTGCTAAAGGTGATGTCCAGGGCTTAGTCCTGATCACTGCCCTGCTGTCTACACTCACCTGCCCCAGAAACAAGGCTCCAGCACCAACCTGTATCCTCAGATCAGTACCTTTCCTTGAATATCTGATATTTCAAGTAAATGGCCAACATTTAACTCTTCTTCCATCTCACCCCTACCCTTATCAGATTCATCTCAGCGAAAAATTGCCATAATTTCTTCAGTTGTTAGAGGGGAAAAATGTTATCTTTGATTCCTTGTTTATGTGTCTGTTTCTCATCAGTGGCCACTTTATTTCTCGAGAATACTGAAATGTCCCAGCCCGTTTTGTGTTCTGTCACAAATTCTGTGATCCTCCAGTGAATGTGAGACTCTTGTACTGGGTGAGATCTCCATGCCTCCACAGACCTTAAGGACCATCCTTAAATGCCTAGATGGTCCAAAACACTTGCTGATGATTCCCAGGTCAGGAAGACCACTGAGTGCATGACTGTGTTCCTTGTTTTGGTTTGGTTCAGTGGGCTCAAAAAATAAATGTTTGCTAAATACTCAATAGAATTTCTGCTTGAAGGGGGCCCACCCAAACTCTTTAGTATTATGTGCTGCCGAAGTGAGCACACCCACCCAAACTCTAACTTTTCCCAGGCCTCCTCCCATAGGTAGTTAACTCCCCCTCACCCCAGGAATTCTGGAGAGGACATGGAGTGAATCATTGGAAGAGGCAGGCCTGGAATGTGGGCTCAGAGGCCAGTGGGTACAAAGGTTTTTTCAAGAAAGACCAAATCACTTTAAAGACAAACTTGGAATCAGCACAATTATTCACAGGCAACTACCTCTGCCCAACTGCACCGCAGCCCTGGATAGAGTACCAGAAGAGAGAAACCATTTTCTTGAACTCTGCTCCATCGTGAGGTAAAGTAAGGGTTAGACAGTCCCCATCCACCCCTTCCGCTGGGAGCTGCCCTGCAGTGATGTCCCTGCCCCTTACCCGCCCATTCCGCTCTCTCTGGACCGCGGGGCAACTACTCACGTGCGCACTGCAGGCCCTTGCGCACAACACCCCAGATGAAGTCGCCGCAGAGGTCGCACCACGTGTGCGTGGTGGGCCCTGCGGACTGGAAGTGGTGGCCACGGCCTGGGGCCTGCTGCCGTGCAGCCTTGTGCGTGGAGGCTCAGCGCGTTGGCACGCTCCAGCCGGGTGCGGCCCGGGCCGGGTTGCCTAGTGGGTACCAGCTCCCTCAGCTCAATGAGCTCCGGCTCTGTCGACATGACCCTCTCAGGCGGTGTTTCCACCCGCTCTGGGCACCAGCGAGTGCGGGGCGGGAGGGGCCTCAGGGCGGGCCGAGACTTGGGCGCCGCCCCTAGGATCCTGTCAGGGCGGCGGGAAAAGGCTGAGAGACCGGTGAACAGGGCAGTGGAAACCCGTGCGAGCAGATAGTGTTGGCCCTGGGTGGGACAGGTAGAGGAGTTCTTGCAGAGCCCCAAACTTCCCTTTCCTTCTTCCAAATGCCGGGGGCGGGGTGGTGGTGGTGGGGATTTAGCTCAGTGGTTCCACCACCTGCCTCGAAAGCGCAAGGTCCCGAGTTAAAAAAAAAAAAATAAAAGTAACCAAATGCTCCCCACACCAACTACGACAGCAAAGCTCCATACATAGACTAGCTTTTCTGGGGTTCAGCTTTACTGTGTTAAAGGAAGAGGGTACCCACATCCGGCCCTTACCCACGCCTCCTGCCTTACTTTGTTGAAGCTGGGGCCTCCCTGCCCTCTTTCTGCCAGGTAGAGCAGGAAGTGGGGAAGCTTCATTTGTTGTGATTGGTGGGGATGGGTCAACAGCTTTATTTGGTACAGCTCTGCTCACCACTAGTGAGACTAGGCCTTGGCAGAAAACAGACCCAGATTCTGAAGTTGAGGGGAACATTCTGTGTGGATTGTTTTGGTCAGTCCTCAGCAGCTGAGGCCTTCACTTGGCTCTGTCACCCTGGGCTGCCAAGATGCATATCTTTCCGTGCTTCTCCCAGTGCTTGACTTGACACTCCCTGCAGGCAAGTGGGCCAGGTGAGGATGGCAGTGCTTGTGGGAGATTGAGGAATGGGGCTTTGGGGTCCAAGGTGGCAGGGTACCCTCACCTGCAGCAATACCATTCCTTCTGGCATCTAGAGCAGCGCTTGGAGGCCTCTGCACTGCAGTAAGCACAGCGAGGCCTTTCTGGGGCCACTGCCTCTAGCACATCCAGCCTATAAGTCTCAGCCCACCTGGAGAAGGGGTCAAAGGGTGTGAGTGGGCCTGGCAAGTAGGGTCACAGAAGTACCCTATCCACCTCTTTTGCCAGTTCAACAGCATTTACCTTTGTGCCTGCAGGCGAAGGTCCTGGTCAGAGGGGCTGAACATGTGCTGAAGCTGGTGCTTGGCAATAGCCTGCCACTTGCCTTTATTCTCTTGCTCCAACCTCTGCCAGATTTCTGGGATCTAGGTTAGAGAAATAGTGATGGACAGGAAGGAGCTGGCAAAGTGAACTGTAATCCTCAGTGACTAACTTAACAGGAGCCTACCTGTTCCAATACCAGGTCCTTCATAGGAGGCTGGGTTTCAACCAGGGCTAGGTGGGCCAGGAAGCCCTTCATATCTGCCAGGTTGGGCAACTGGTCAAGTAGTGTGTCTGTGAGGAAGGCCCGAAGCTACAAGGATGTCCAGGGAAGGTCTGTGAAATAGGTACTGGCAGGGGGCAGGGGTTTAGCTCAGTGGTTCCACCACCTGCCTTGCAAGTGCAAGGTCCTGAGTTCAATCCCCAGTACAAGGAAAAAAAAAAAAAAAAAAAAAAAAGGCACTGGCCAGAGGGCCAAGGAACGGGGTGCGGGGGCTGGGCTGGGCTCAGGGTTCCTGTGGGGTACTATGCTACTATACATACTAGCTACTATGTCACCTGAAGCCCAAGATTCAGAAAGAGGACAGAAGAGACAGGTGGGCATAGATAACCAACAAGGAGGCAGTAGGGTTATATAATGGGGTGTGACAGTTCTGGGGCTATAGGAATAGGTGTGAGGAACTCCCCACCTTGAGTAGTTGTCCCTTAGCAAAGCTTGTGAGGCAGTAGCGAGTCCGGGCCTCAGGACTTAGTAGCAGGTTATACAGAGCGATCCATACTTGCCCTTCTAATTTGCTCAGCTTTTGTTGTTCTAAGGGACTCACTGTATGCCAACGGCCACCCTCAAATTGCTGCAGTTTGCCTGGGTAGAAAAACCAGTACACTGGTCACAGGGCTTGCTTTCTCTTTGAGTGAGCCTGATGTGTTCGATGAGGGACTGCCCAATGCTTGGGCAAGGTGGAGAGCCTAGGCCATAGGACTTGCCCAGGAAGTGGTGGTGCTGGCCCCAGAGCAGGATGTGAGTCCTAAGCATTGGATTCATAGGCTTTGTCTGCTGTAGAGCTGAGGTCCAGGCCTGTCTTGGTTGAGGCATTATGATAGTCTCTGGGATCTGGGGGAAGGGGTCTGTGTGCCTGTGCACAATTTCTCCACATCCATCAATCCTGATATTTTAGAAGCAGTGGGGTGGGGCTTAGGTAGGCAAGAGAAGACCTTACCTCCTTCCTGCCATTTCCAAGGACTGTGCTCCAGCAGTTCTACCAGGAGGCAGGGTAGGTTGTGGGTGCTGAGCATGCGACTCAGGGTGCTCAGGGAAAGGCTGGGGGAGGGGTGAGAGGGAAGGAGGTGAGCAGAGGCTATAGGTCCAGTCTTCCAGCCCTACACTGTAGGCACCAGGCTCTGGAGGATTACCTACCTGTCCACACAGTCTGTGATGTAGCGAAGTACTGAGAGGGCCTTTAGGGAGATCTCAAATTCCATTAGCTCTGCCTGCTTTTGCAACTCCTGGGAGGGCCACACAAATGTTCAAGCTGGGTCACTTCCTGCCCACACAGGCCTTGGGAAACCCAAATATGGACTTTACCAACCTTAACCTACCTGCATAGGGGTACAATCCTGGAGTCCCTTTTCTTTAGGGGGGCCACCATGGCCAGACTGGGCTACCAGCAGTGTCAGTTTGCGGTGACAGTAGTCTACCAGGTCTAAGAGAGTGTCATTTGCTGATTCACACACCTCCTAGTGGGGCATAGGAAGGAAAACTCTCTTGCCCTCTCCACATGGGCACAACCTGCCAGGCCCTGGCCTGAAGCAGTGGTCCTCAGGCAGGGACAGTGCCTCACCTTGTGGAAGAACACTGTCTCCAGAAGGTTGATGATGGAGGCCTCGTGGTGTATCTGTCAAAGAGGAGGTCAGGGCCTCAGCTGCAGAGAGGAGATAGGGACTACCAGCTTCCCAGTCCAAGGTTCTGTGACAGAGCAAGAAGAGTTCTGAGCTAGGGGCCCAGCTCACCACCATGTATATGGGGAAGGTATTCAGAGGCTTGAAGTCTTCCAGCTTGCACAGCACAGGGAACACCTTCTGCTTCCACATCTCCACTGCAATTAGATCTTCTACCAGTGTTGGGATCTTTCAAAGGTGAGAGAAAGAATAGGGATGACATAGACCTACTTTAACCTGACAACTCTTCCATCTCTGGCTCAGCTAGACTCAGGTCTGAAACTCCTCTGGACTCCTTGTCTCCCAGACCCCACAAGTACACTTCTCCTCTCTCCTTAGACCTTCATTTCCAGTGCTCAAACTTCTCTGTGGGGATACACACTTACTTCCTATGACAGACTGCTATCTGTTATCAAGTTGCCTTCCCCTCCCTGTGCCCACACCCTTATCTCCTCTTCCCCTATTCAGGCATTCTTTTTAGGCTAGACTTTCTTGTTCATGCCCTTCCTCTGTCCTGCCTTCTGGCCCGCCAAGGTTCTTTCTTGTGATATTCCTACCCTACCCCTTAGTAGTGGACTCTGCCATTTTTCTTGCAGAGGAACACTTTTATCAGTAGATCTCTTGGGTCTTCTACTCGTGCCACCTCCTGGCCCATTTTCCAGTCAGTCATTTCCCTGGTTTTTAATTTTGCCTCTCCCATGTCAGAAAGGTCTCTTCCTTTCAAGCCCAAGTCCTGTATCTACTTAATTGGGAACCTCCTCTGGCCTTACAGTCAATTTAGGATAACTTTAGCCCTTGGGGCCTTCCCCTGTATCCTAGGCTGTTCTCAGATCTATGACGGTCTCTGTAACCAACCCATCCCATGCCACAGGCCTGGTGTGCCTGGTTTCTGTCCAAAAGGGGTATAAAAGGAAATGTAACACGTTTCTCTTTCCCCTTTAGGAGGGGAGGTATTGTTCCAGCCCAGAGAGAGCAGACACGTATGTAACCCTGAGGGATAGAGTGACCGAGGTGAGGGAAAGGAAGGCAGGAGTCCTTGGTGTACCTTTCCATAGGTGACCAGCAGCTCCTGGATGGGTTCTCCCTGGCTGACAGTGGCATCAAGGATGGCTTGCATGTTCAGTTTTTCCAGGTTCTCATGCTGCTGGTTCCACCTGCACCAGAGGGGTATGTGCATTTGGGTGCCCACATGTGTATTAGGAGTGAGGATGGGGGCTGGGTTGAATTGAAGACTAACTTGATCCTGAGGGACCAAAGTGGAATCATGAGCTATATACTCCTAGTCCCTTTTCCAATGTCAGGCCCCAACCTGTCCCACTCAAGATCCTGTCCCAACCGGCTCACCCTTCAGAGCCCATCTCCAGAGGTGGGAAGCTGCGCAGGTGTTTCACAAGGACTTCAGCCTCCCCAGGTTGCAGCAGCTCCAGGTCACTCATGTCGAGGATAGGATCCAGCGGACCTTGGTCAGTGGTTGGGGAAGAGGTGCTAAGACACTTTGGGACAATGGACTCGGCAGGGATAAAGTCTGAAACAGAACGGTTACTGGGCAGTTGGAGCGCGTGAGTACTCACTGCCTTGGAAACGAGTCAGTTCGGCGCCTGCGCAGTGAGGCCGTTAACCACGCCCACTCACCACGCCTACCAGCTCTAGCTAGCAATCCGCAGGCACTCTCCCAAGATTTCTTCCTCATAACCCTCTGAGGCTCATGAGTCTCTCAGCGGGATTCTTACAGTCTAGATTCTCCCGGGACTTCAAGTTGGCTTGCATATGGTTGGAGTAACCCGATCTCCACCAGCTACTCCTACAGCTGTGCCTCTTGACCCTCTGGGATGCTACTCATGGCTTCCGGCGTCCCTGTTTCTCACGTCCCGCTCCACCAGTTGACTCTAATTCCTGAGTACTGCCCAGAGCCCACAACTGCTCTCCATCCTAGTCCAGAATGTTCATGGCATAGGTGCGGCAGTCTTTTTAATAGACCAACTTCCACTCTGACCTTCCCAGCCGGTAGGAGTCTGAAAGGTGTACATCAGATATTACCTTCACAGAGGCTGGCTCTGTAGCTGTCTGGCCCACAGAATAACTAGCTCAGATGCATTTCACCAGCAGCTCTGCAGGATTACTCCTGGGCCTTTCTCCTACCTCAGTACTTTTTTTTTTTAAACAAAAAGTGTCTTTTATGTAGAATAACTAGCTCAGATGCATTTCACCAGCAGCTCTGCAGGATTACTCCTGGGCCTTTCTCCTACCTCAGTACTTTTTTTTTTTAAACAAAAAGTGTCTTTTATGTAGAATGTTTTTTTTTTCATTGAGTTTATTGGTACATTTTAGGTATACAGTACAGTTATATTCATTATCGGGATCTTGTACCTTTAGTTCAGGCTAGCCTTGAACTCACCCTGTAGCCCAGGCTGGCCTCCAACTTGTGGTAATCCTGATGCCACAGCCTCCTCACTGCTGGGATTACAGGTAGATGCCACCACACCCGGCAGAGACTTTGATTTTTGAATCGCTTACTTTCATGTTCTAGCCCTGGGTTCCTCATAAATCCTATAATGTTTTGTTTTTCAAAGTGGTTTTTGATTATTTGTACTTGTTTCTTCTCTTGGAATACTCTTCCTGCTTCAAGGCTCAGTTTACATAATTTCCATGCGGTCTTTCTTGACCATTTAATCTAGAGCAGTCCCTGTTCCCACCCCAATTCATTCATCATTAGTACCTTTCTGGCTCTTTTAGTTTGTTATTAAGGCGCACATTTACTTGCCTATGTCTGTTATGTCCACCAGATGGCGCTCCAGCTGCACTGGGACCAGTAGCTATTTCGTTTGCTGCTAGTTCTTTGGTGGCTGACTCAAGAGGCAGTACTCAATAAAGGTAGGTTGAAATGGATGATTTTTTATTTACAGAGCTGGGGCCACCCTCCAGGGAATATGTACTAGTCTTCTTGTCTAGCTCACATGTACCAGGCAGGACTTAGCAGGAGGGAGTAGACACAATGAGCCTCTGCCAGCCAGCCTCACTTCCAGCAGATGATGATGTTGGGGTCATTTTCCAGTCGCTCGTCCAGCTCATGATAGCTCATCCCTGGTGGGATGGGGGTGGAGTGAGGTCAGAGGCCTTGGCCTGGTCATCTTGCCCTGACCCCACCCTGCCTGCCCTGTCCACTTCCACCTGTCTTGCAGCAGATCTCATCGTAACTGTGGCAGCCTGTATAAAGCCGGGCAGGGTGGCTCTGTTCCTCGCGAGATACTTGCACAGGATACTTCTGTAGTCGTCGGATAAGGTTCTTCATAAGCCCGAACTGGATCAGTTTCCTGGGGTGGGGATGGGGGAAAAGAGTGGTGATGTACTGACCAGGCCTTCTTTTAGCCAGGTCAACCATTTCCTGTCACCCTTTCAATTCTGTCTGTGGCCAGACTGACCTCCATGCCCATCATCTCTAGGAAGCTTGCCTGGGCTAGCCATGTCTAGGATTTTGCTCACTGGTAAGTCCCTGCTTCCTCTCTGACCTAGGAATTCTCCAGAGAAGCAGGTGTTCACTTGCCCTTAGGAGACACCCTCGTCCCTCAGGGAATGCCACGCTGACCTTTCATCAACGTGCTGCAGCTGCTGGGGATGGCGGCCAATGAGGTCTCGAACAGTAGTGCCAGGGCTCAGGCTGCAGTACAACTGGAACACGTCCCGGAGGCTGGCTCTTTTGTGCCCTGTACCCGTAAGGGTCAGCTCACCAAGTGCCCTCTCCAAAGTGACCTCCCACAGAGCCCACTACTACCTTGCTTGGTTACGAAGGACAGACATGCCTCTTGCAGGGACTTGTCATCTACCAGGTCCTGGACCTTGGGTGTTGGGCAGTACACATTGGAGTACTAGAAGACACAGGATACTGTCATAGGACAGTGACAAGCCTGGGCTTGGGAGGCTGAATCAGTCTGGCCTAGCCATCTGGTCCATACTTCACTTATCCATACCCCAGACTCACCTACCTGGAGGATGGACACCAATGTCACAACACCATAGTACCTGGGGGAGAGGGATGTGTTCAACTTCTGAGGACACACCTTCTCAGTCCATACAACCCTTGGGCTCTTTCCTGTATACTGGGCATGATTGTAGCACTACTTACAGCAGGTTCTGGATGGCAATGCGCACCAAATTGAGCTCCACATCTGCCTCAGCTGAGATCTTCTGGACATGGCGGAAACCATCAATATAGGGCAGGATCTGGTCAGAGCAGGGCAGGGTCAGTGGGGATAGACAAGGCCTAGGATGTGGCCAGCCCCAGGTGATGCTACTCAGGGAGGGCTGGCATACCTGTTGTGTGGTGAGGTCCCACTGTGAGTTGAAGAAATCCTCCTTGTCCTTGGTAAAGACAGGAACATCATACTCCTGGGCCACAGGAGGGTCGGGTCGCTGCTCAATCACCTTCAAGTGGATGGTGTTGGACTCATCTGCAGGGGACCCCATTCATATCCTCAGGGCCATCTGTCCCAAGGGGCTCTCAATTACTTCCACACCTACCAGGATCCCTTGAGGAAAGCAGGTGGCTCTGGGGATAGGCATTTTCTCTCTCCCTTTCTTTTTTGTGATAGCAAGCAATGAACCCGGAGCCTTGCACCTACTCAGAGGCACTCTACCACTGAGCTACATCCCCAGCCCATTTATTTTATGTTTTGTTTTTTGAGACAGGGTTTTGCTATGTAGTTCATGCTGGCCCTGAACTCATATACTCCAGGAAGGTCTTAAACTGCAATGATCCTCCTGGGATCATAGGCGTGTACCACCATGCCTGGCTTTTATTTTATTTTGAAACAAGATCTCACTAAATTTCCCAGGTTGGCCTCAAACTTGCCATCTTCCTGCCTCAGGCTACTAAATAGCTAGAAGTATAGGCATGCACCACCCATTCTTCCCCTCTGTGACAAACATGTTAAGAGAGGGGAAGGAATGTGCCCAAAGGGCAGAGAAGAGTTCTGCTGGTTGCCCCCCTTGTCCATCATGCACTGGACCATCACTTCTGCCTATGGCTGTTTTCTGGCCACCAATATGTTAAAGAGTCTTGTCCTTCTTCCCCAGAAGGTGTGCTCACTTTCTCCTGCCACTTTCCTGACCCTCTTCATCTGCTGTCCTTTCAGAGGCTAGGCCATACCTATGGGTAGAGTACACCGGCCAGAGGCGTTTAGTTCCTCCAGTAAGATGGTCATGATGGGCACCAACTTCTGCTTGCTCTCCTCTGTGGACACGAAGCTGCTCTCTAGCTGGGTAGAGCATGGATAGTATGGTGGGTATTCCAGGGCCCCTGGCTGGCTGGGTGCCCTGTCTAGGTTCTGAGCTAGGTGTCAGGGTGAGAATGGAGCTTTGGAGCCATAGGAACACTTTCCCCAACTCTACCCTTCCATACACCCAAGCCCATCCTGTTGCACACCTCCAGTGTGGTCAGGTAGCCAGCCAGTTTTTTAACAATGGGCTCCAGGGCACAGGTCTTGGCCTGGGCATCACATACGAAGCCCAGATTGAAGAGGAGGGCATTGCGGCTATACTTCTTGTGTTCAATGCACACTGGACAGCCAATCAGCTTCTTTTCCATGGCTGTGCTGCATGGGTGGAACACAGTCAGGATTGCCCCTAAGCTTTCCCCCTCCTCCCAGGACCCCCCAACGTCCACTCAGCCAGGGCCTCACACAGTGATAAGCTTGTTCTGAAGCTCTGGCTTGGTGATGATGTACACTTGTACAGTGTCAAATAGCTCCCGAGAGATGAAGTCCTCAGGGACCTGGGACAGGAATGGCAAGAGGCTGCTCAGTGGATAGTGGGACTGGATGAAGTTCACAGGATGACCTTCCCCCAGCCCCAAGTCTTCTTCTCCAGTGTTTCTTTATCTCCCATCTACACAGGCCTACCATTCCTTTGTATTTCCAATCACATGCTTTGCTCTCACTGGCTTCCTGGCTTTTACATTCACTGTTCTCTCTACCTGAAACACTTTTAGATCACCTAATTTCCAGTGCATCATTTAGGACTCAATTCAGTAAGTCTCGTGGGCTAGCCACCTCAACTTCCATAGACCATCCCAGAACCCTACTGCCTGATTTTTCCAAAAACATAGATTATATGACATAGTATGTCTCCCTCGCCACAACAGACTTAGGTCTGAGAATCATTCATGATTATCCTCGAATGCCTCCGCGCAGCACGAGAATCCACCGCCTCCAGCCAGCCAGATAAATTTCCGAAGGGTCCCACTCCTCATCCCAGTCCCGTGAACCCTGGCGGCACCTGATAGGTGATCTTGGGTCCCAGCGTAGGGTGGAACTCGCTGAAAAATACGCATTCGATGCGGCAGCTGCTGCCCATGGCGCTAGCCACTCCAGGGTCAGTAGTTCCTGGTCCTTGGCGTGCAGGCGTCACCACCCCGAGAGCATCTGTCAGAGGTAGCCCAGGTAGGTCGCCAAGTGCAGAAGGTTTGCGCGCACACAGCAGGGAAGCAGTCTGCTCAAAAGCGCCTGCGCAGCGCGACTCAGAGGCGTGGCGGGGGGGGGG